GGACATCCCCCGTCAACTGGGCTGACCAGGGCTCCATTTGCCGGTGGTACTTCTCCCTCGGTCCCCCTGGACGCCGAAAAGTGAATGCCAGACACCCCAAACCTTACCTGGTGGCAGCTGGACCAAGATGCAGGTAAGGGACATACCACCCCTCATGCCGAGGTCAGTCCCTCCTTCCGCAAAGGGGGGGGGGGGTAGAGGGGAACACCAGATGGTCCGCACCCGGTCCAAGCCCTCCCCCCATTTTACAGGTACAGAGCGATCCTCTGATCGCCTAAGACAGTCTCCCCACCGGAGAAAACACCATTACTGAGGCCGGTGGGGGAGGCCGCACTTTTATTCCGGGTGGAGAGGTTTACTCAGGTGGGGAGGAGCCGAGGTCTCTCAAGGTGCTGTCCTGAAAGACTGGGAGGGGAAAAACAAAACCAATATGTTTCACTTTGGGTTATAAAAAAAAAAATCTCCAATAAACTCAGTCATAAATTTAGCCAAAATGTATTCTGCTATATGTCTTTGGTAAAATAAAAAAAAAGAAAAATAAATAGAATCCCAATACATGCCAGAGCAGTACAAAGCCCCCCCCCCCCCAAAAAAAATGACCCCTTTTTGGAAAGTAGACACCGCAGGAATTTTGCGGAGAGGCATGCTGAGTCAGTTTTATTTTTTTGCCACAATTTTTTTTTAAAAATGACCATTTTTTTTTTTTTGTAACAAACTGTTACTTAAATGATATGTTGCTCATGCATGCCATGGGTATATGTGGAATAACACTCCAAAACACATTCTGCTACATGTCCCGAGTATGGGGATACCACACGTGACAATTGTTGACAGCCTAGCTATATGCAGGCTCCCAAAATTAGATGACCACCTCCAGGGTTTCAAAGAGCATATTTCCTCATATCACTTCCTCACTACCTATCAGAAATTGGGAGGCCCTAAAATGCGAGGATAGTACAAACACCCCCCCCCCCCCCCCCCCCCAGAATGACCCCTTTTTGGAAAGTAGACACCCCAAGGAATTCGATACGAGGCATGGTATTTTACGGACATCATTTTTGTCACATATGTGGGGGAGTTAGGAATCTATTATGCTGTATCCTGGCATTTCAGAGCCAACATTAGAAGCTTATGCCACATACCGCCCACTCTTGAAGGCCAAGCCTTTTTGGACACTGTTCACATGAAAAAAAACTTTTTTTGCTAGAAATTTACTATGAACCTCCAAACATTATATATTTTTGAAAAGCAGAGGCCCTAGAGAATAGTGGGTGTTGAAATCACACATTTTTTTTGCAGCGATTTTTCAAACGCAAATCTTTTGGGAAAAATACAATTTTTTGAATTTAATGCACAAAAACACACTATATAGCCCAATTGTTTGATAGAGTATAAAAGATGATATTACACTGAGTAACTGGATACCAATCATGACATGCTTTAAAATTGCACATGCAAATGCCCGTGCAATGCCAACAAATCACATACATTTTTAATAGCTTTAAAAGCCTTTACAGGTCACCAATTTATATTTACACAGGAGGTCTAGTGCTAGAATTACTGCCCTCGGTCTGTCGTTGACGGTGATACCTCACATGCATAGTGCAATCTCTGCTTACATACCAACACGGAACCAACGCTTGCGTTAGCCTTTGCGCATAAGTAAGGGACAGGGGTGATTTTTTTTTCTTCTTTCGATCACTTTTATTGTTATCACAGGGAATGTAAATATCCCCTGTGATAGCAATAGGCAGTGACAGGTACTCTTTTCCGAGAAATATGGGGGCTATTAGACTCTAGATATCTCCTCTGCCCTTAAACCAATTTAAAAATGGCACTGTTTATATCCTACAAAAAGGAAATGATGAAATGCATGTAGCTTCAAGTCACTTCAACCATAGAGATGAATGGAGCCATTCTGGTCTCTGATTAGCTCTATGGTCAGCCAGCAGTACTTCCGGCTGCATTCTCGGATTCCCCTGTGGGACAGGGCAGCACAACAAAAAGGGGGGGGGGGGTGAAGGAGATGGCTGGTAGACTGTTCCTTCCCACTGCTTGTAAAAACAATCCAGCAGCAAATTGGCCACTAGGATTGCTTTTACATGAAAGCAGACAGCCAGTCTGCAACGATACCAGGATGATGCCTGTAGCTGCTGCAGGCATCATCCTGGTATAATTACTCAAAGTCCAGCGACATACCAGTACATTGCTTGTCTATGTTGGGCACATATGTAACAGCAGAGAACATGGGCATACGATGAATCGGGTCTGTGAACCAATATGACCACAATTCAATCTTTTTTGTAATATCCATGTTGGAGGTTAGGCCCTAAAAAGTTTTAAATTCAGACACCGCGATAGGTTTCCATGAGAATTGTTTGGCAAGAGCTGAATTTGGGTGGATGGCGATGTATTGTGTGTATAAATTGCTTTGGTCCACAATCAACTGGTACAAATCTTCAATGAAAAACAGCGGAGGGGCTAAACACTAGTGCTGGCCACAAACAGGTCTGATCCTGCTAACACTGCTTTTTTGGGGACACTATACAAAGGAGGCACTAGTATAATTCTGTTCATGATCATTATATTGATCCATACAAACACTACACTAGTAATGGCGGTGGTCAGCAACTTATAGCATGAGTGCGATAGTGTGCGGGCAATCTAACGCTAGCTGACCCTGGCTGGAAGGGTGCTAACTGACCCAGACACTATCTGATGTCGCTATATACTGACACCATACTAATGGCACTGGCTGGGTGACGGGTTGATCAAAGGGTTAATAGGGGGCGATCTCAGAGTTATACGTGCTAATGTAACGTATGTGTGTGTAGTGCTTTTACTTGGTGGCGTATTCGTTCTCTCCCCGGACCATCAGCATGCACCCCAAAATAGAAATCAACGAAAGATTACGTTGCTTTGGCCAGAGCCGCTGCTCACCTGCAAAATGCAGGTAAGCAGTCGGCAAGTAGTTAAAAAAAAAAAAAAAAAACACCTTAAACTTTTTTTTTTTTTTAATTCTCAATACGGTATTTTTCATGTATTTTTTTGTAAATACTTTTCTCAGAATAGTACAATGTTACCATACTAACACTGTACTACTGACCAGAGACTGCAGACACCGTACAGGAGATGACCAGAGACTGCGGACCTTTGGGGAGGGAGGGGGAGCGGGTACCTGAATCTGACAGGTACCCGCTCCCACCTAGTTGTCCTTCACTCTTCTTTCCGCGCCGACTTCTGTGACAGCTGGGTGCCCATTGCGCATGTGCGAGAAGCGCTGAGCTTTGTGAATGGCCAAGCGCCTTCTGGGACCTGTCATGTGTCCCAGAAGACACCAGACCATTCACAAAGCGCAGCGCTTCTCGCGCATGCGCAGTGGGCATCCGGCTGTCACAGAAGCCAGCGTGGGAAGACTACAGCGCTGGAGCGAGGAACAGGTAAGGTCCTGCAGGAGAGAAGAGCTGAGCTGCCGGCCCAATATTCTGACATGGTGGCGGCAGAAATACCGGACCGGCCGCTGTAAATTTGCTCCATAAGACGCACTGACATTTCCCCCCCCCCCTTTTTTTGGGGGAAAAAAAGTGCGTCTTATGGAGCGAAAAATACGGTAATTTCTCTTGCAATGTGAAGCTTGCGGTCATGAATAAGTTAGGTTTTTGACAGATCAAGAAAGTGATCTGTGATTGGCTGGAGCTAGTCTCATGGAACCAGGTGCTGTGAATGGGCCCATGTATCATGTGATAGTTGTGGGCAAATCACAGCTCACTAGGAAGAGAAACAGAGCTGTTATGAATCAGATTGATTCATAACAGCTTTGCTAACATTGTGCTCACGTGATCGCATAGCGATCACATGTTCACCGAGTCCCATTCACCGGGATCTTCATTACGCTGTGTCCGCCGGACACAACAGTCGCAGGTGGGGAGCACTGCGGGCCAAATCGGGCAGACAGTGTCCCCACTGTGTTCGCACAGCCAGAGCGACGTACCCATGCCTGTAGATGCTGCCCGTCCGCAGTACATGGCGGAAAGCAGTTAAGAAAAAAAAATGGCCTTGTTTACAAGGTGCTGGAACCGGAAGTGACGTTATGAAGTTGATCTGGTTCTCCAAGGGGATAGAGATGAGTGGAGTCCATCTTGTCTTCAATGATCTCTATGCCCAGAGCCAGGATCGTTGGATGGGTTCTCAGGTAAGGCTGATTAATAACCACAGAGGGCTTCAGGTGACAAGATCATATTAGTCTTCACATGACATTGACAATATATTTTCACACCTGGTATTCATTTTAGGCCTGAAGATTACACAGAACCCCCAAAACATTATATATTTTCTCAAAGCAGACACCCTAGAGAATGAAATAGTGGTAGTTCCAATTTTTTAAATGTCTATGAAAACGCACAATTTCTATAAAAAACAAAAACTAAAGTAAATTTTTTGGGCAGCCAAACACAATAAATTACCAAAATTTGGGTAAAACATAAAAAGATAGGTAGCACTTCAAAAGCCCCTATAGGTCATCAGTTTAGGGGGAAGTTTTGTACTAGATGTAACAGGTGTATCACAATCAATGTTTTCATGCATAGGCGCCCTGACGTGTGCATTTACGTTCACACGTGCGTATATGTGAGGGTGGGAGGACCTCAATTTATACACACACAACGGCTGTGTATAAAACCCCCCACTGTCAGGTCCGCATGACATACTGATCTTGCAGAGAATGTGTTAATATGTATTACTTACAAAATTCAGATCTTCAAACAGTATTTTTAGGAAAACTGGAAATCCCCTGTCTGCTCAGGACCCCTCCACGTGGTAACACAAGCAGAGAGGTCAGGACCTCTTCTTACAACACAAAGGGCCAGCAATCAAGAAGGGAAATCCCATTTTCCTTGGAGTCCCCTTTAATGCATATTATCTGAAGAAAAGCATAACGTACACTAAGCTCTATTCATAGCTCCTCACCCGAAGCAAACTACCCCCCCCCCCCCATGTGGTACCTTTTTAATCATTGTACTCTCTGTATTATCAATCTTTGTTTTCTTAGCCTCTGGACCATCTTCAACCTCCTTATTACCTTTTGTCACCTTCATCTTCTCCCTGAAACAAAAACGAAATACAGTTAAAAAAAACAAAAAAAAAAAAAACCCCACACACAGAATGGTGTAACTCATTCACAGAGGAAAATACTATATACTGTATCACAAAATATGAAACCATAAGCATTTTATAATAAATAGATGTATTCCCCAAACGGCAGACACTACATGTTTTGTGATTTCTTTATCAAATAGTCTGTTGTGTGCACCCTTATTCTGGTTTCAGTTGTAACTAAGGACTCCTCCATTTCCTCAACTTTAGAGCTAACAACCATTCCCCAGAATCAAGTCCAGTCTAATCATTACCGTTATCCTATGAACTAAATTAGATGCTCAATAGACAGGGCATGCCTGCTGTAGGACAGGGTTATGTCCAAAGTCAAGCCCATAGAAAAGGCCAGGATCAGAAAAGGAGAATGGAAACACCTTTTCTGGTTATCAAAAATAATAGCAGGTTTTAATTGCACTTTAAAAGATGTACATTTGGGGGGGACAAAAAAGATTTTCATGTGACTAATTTTTACAGATCAGAACAGACCCTCATGCTTGTAACATATAATTATGGATGTTTACACGCAAGGCAGACACAAACCAAATGATAGGTACCCTTCATTTTCAGTTACCTAGCAGTCAGGCATGTATGCGGAGGTCTACAAAACATCAAAACTGCCAGTTTTAGGTAAAAACTAGAGATTTAAATTTTCCTTAAATTATGACATTTTTGGAAAAACTGGGGAAAACCCCCCCCCCAAAAAAACAACAGTATCTTTAGTGCCAGCTCACACTGATGCAGTGCAAATCTGGTGCAATTTCACAGTGTGATTTCTGCTGTGACATGTGAGAACTGAATGCGATTTCTGAGGGGACTAGGCATAGCAGGAGATGAATTTCGGACCACACCCCCACTAAAATCAAACAGGATCCTTTTTATTTATTTATTTCAGGTACTTATATAGCACCATCAATTTACGCAGCACTTTACATATATATTGTACATTCACATCAGTCCCTAACCCTCAAGGGGCGTACAATCTAATGTCCCTAACTTTCATTCATACATACACATACTAGGGGCCAATTTAGACAGGATCCAATTAACCTACCAGCATGTCTTTGGAGGAAACCCACACAGGCAAGGAGAACATGCAAACTCCAGGTAGGTAGTGCTGTGGTTGGGATTTGAACCAACGACCCTAGTACTGCCAGGTGGAAGTGCTGACCATTTAGCCACTGTGCTGCCCAGGACAGAATCAAATACGCACCACATATATGTGAACAGCCTGCATTGGAAATAATGCTTTTACAGATTACATGAGAATCTATGCTTTTCGGATCGCATCTGATCTGCATAGAATTTGCATAAGTGTGAACTGGCACTTAGGGCATCTCTGGCATGCAAGGGATGTGTTTTGTCATCCTTGTAGCAGTTGGAAAATATTTCTTCTAACAATATTTCCTAATTGCAGCTGTGCTCTCAGTAGAAATTGAACAGTAGAAATGTTCCCAAACTCTAGATGTTGGTCTCACCATTTTCCTGAGAGTAAGAAAAGAAAAACCAATTTACTGAGCAGACTATAGGCAAACATTATACTGAAGAAAAAAAAACACATGCAGAACATTAATTTATGGATAGACTAATTTGTCAGACAAATTTACCCTCTTACTGGTCAAATAAGGCCTGAGAGGACGACAGAAACTACTGTATCCTAACAAGCACTGAACTGTAGAAGGTACAAGATGGAGCGTACAAGCAAACTCAACTGATGCTTTTCCCCTTCAGTGCCCCCCTAGCAGCAGAAATGCATATTTCTCATCTGAGACCTACACTGAGAAGTATAGTGTTACTTCGATTGTATTCCAGGATTTGCTTGTCTTCGGTTGACAGAACTTGCAATAATTTGACTTTAAAGTCTCAGAAATGTTTCATTAAGGTTTTCATGTTATATAGTTTGAGTACCAGGTCATATTTATTATTGTAAACATATTCCACACTCTTCACTTTTTCCAGAAAAAGTGGTTTTGAAACAAAAAAAAAAAAAAACCAAAAACAAAACAAAACTTTTTTCCCCCCAATGTTTGTTTTTTCCCAGGCCTTCCCAACTCTAGATAAAAACACAGGTCTGTCCTAGCAATAGGTCACTAACAAGTTAAATTTTGCAACCGACTCAACATACAGAACACATTTTCATATGTAAAGTTGAACCCATGGTTCTCACATGTTGGAAGGGTTCAAATTGGAATAAATTAGCAAGTACTTATTTGTTGTCAAGTTGTCAGTAATCACAGGGGAAGGTGAAGCTGGGCAACAGCTCAAATACTACCACATCTTGGCATTTGGATTAGCCAAATTGCTGTGGTAAAGCCTCATCAGTAAGGAGTACAGGAAACCATACATTTGTATCTACAAAAAGCTGGCAATAATTGTATGTTTCTTCAGAGGGCAGATTCTCTATAGCACTGTGGGATATACAGTAACAGTACTATGCTAATTAACCACTTGCCTTCCAGAGGATTTACCCCCCTTCCTGACCAGGCCTTTTTTTTGCAATACAGTGCTGCTCCCACAAATAGAGCTATCTTTCAGTGGTATTTGATTAGCTCTGCAGTTTTTTTTTACTTTTTGCTATAAAACAGATTAAAATTTTTTTTTTTTTTTTTTTTTTTTTTAATTAAATTTCATCATCAATTTAGGCCAAAATGTATTCTGCTACATGTCTTTCCTAAATAAAAATCCCAATACATGTAAATTAATTGGTTTATGTGAACATTATAGCATCTACAAATGGCGTTCTATATACACTGGAATTTATTTTTATAGTAGTAATGGCAGCAATCAGCGACTTATAGCGGGACTGCGGTAGGCATTCTGACACTGGGGGGAACTGACTAATTGCCACTGACATCTCGATGACACGAATACAGTGATCAGCGCTAATAAAAAGCACTGACTCTGTACTGACACTGAGCAAGAAGGGGTTAACCTCTGGGGCGATCAAAGGGTTAACTGTTTGCGGTGTGTGTTTTTACTAGTGAGACAAGTTTCTCTGTATTGCTCTGCTGTGCAGAGCACTACAAAGTAGCCTGTCCCTGCTGACGGGAGAGATCTGTGTTTACATACAGACCTCTCCTCTTTCACTGTTCCTCTGCGATCTAACTTCCTGTACACTGCGCAGTGCACTTACATTTTTATTAGGAGTACCTTATCTCTGCTTGCTTTAACTTGTAGTCTACACATGTACATTGCACTTGTATTCTCCATAAACACTTTAACCACTTGACTACTGGGCACTTATACCCTCTTCCTGTCCAGGCCAATTTTCAGCTTTCAGCGCTGTCACAATTTGAATGACAATTGCGTGGTCATGCAACACTGTACCTATAAGACATTTTTATAATTTTTTTTCACACAAATAGAGCTTTCTTTTGGTGATATTTACTTGCCACTGGGTGTTTTATTTTTTTGCGTTATAAACAAAAAAAAATGAAAAAAAAAAAAAAAGTTTCTTTGTTTCTATGATAAAATTTTGCACACAGGTAATTTTTCACCATCAATGATGTGCGTTGATGAGGCGGCACTGATCATCAGTGCCGATCCCTTCAATGACAATTGCCGGTTCTCGGCAATTCTGCCCTCATGCTGTGACAGCGTGAGGAAAGTGCAGCCGATAACCGGCAACTGTATTTACCCGGTGAACTGCTGTGTCATTGGACACAGCTGATCACGTGGTAAAAAGGCCACAGTGATTGGCCGTTTACTGTATCACGTGATCGGCTGTGATCACCGCGGCACTGGGTGACCGCCACTGGGGGTGCGCGGGGGTGGGGGATGTGTTCTGAAATGACGTCCATGGACGTTATCCCTGGATTACACAACCGAGCTGTAGCTGTCCTTTGGCTATAGTGCGGTTGGGAACAGGTTAAAAACAAAAACTGGTCCAAGGCTAATGTGTCATATGCAAACATCACTAACTCCAGTGTGCAGGTACTAGGAAAGCTGAGGAGAGGCCATGAAAGTCAGCCTATCAACTTACTCAACAAATTCATGCTCTCCCAGGTCAGCAAACATGTATCCATGATAACCAAAGACATCTCCCGCAAAGAACTTGATGCTGTTTTGGTGGCAGATCTGGTCAACTTTTACGAGCAAGTCTCTTGAGCAGCAGGTCAGACATACCTGGGAGCAACAAGAGAGGAAGAAGTTGAATACCTGAAACATTCAACATTTACAGGGAAAATACAACACTTTGTCAAATTTTCTCTAAACATTTATTTTAAACTTTAGTTTCTTTTTTTTTACCCCCATATACATCTACATTTATTTTACAAAAAAAAAAAAACAAAAAAAAAAAAAAAAAAAAACATTCAGGTTGGAATACTTGATAGGTCTGTAACCACTAGCCCAGCTCAATTTCCAGCTTTCAATGACAATTGCAATTGCGCGTCATGCAACACTGTACCCATATGACATTTTTATCATTTTTTTTGTGACAGATAGAGCCTTATTTTGGAGGTATTTAATCAACTCTGGGTTTTTTATTTTTTCTTAAACCAAAAACCACTGAAAATTTAGAAAAAAAAAACAAAAAAAACCGTTTTAGTTTTTGTGATAAAATTTTGTAAATAAGTGATTTTTCTCCTTCACTGATGTGCGCTGACGCTGCACTGATAAGCGGCACAGACTGGCACTGATAGGCGGCAATGAAAGACAGCTCAGATGGGCACTGATATGTGGCATTGATGTGGCACTGGCACGAGGCACTGATGGACACTGACAGGTGGCACTGCTGGGGCTACACGGATCATCAGCGCCCTGATGATCAGCGTACATGTCTCCTTCCGCGGAAAGCAGGTTACCGGCTCTCCCTCCTGAGCTGTCAGCGTGACAGCTCGAAATGAGAGAAATGCCGATAACCGGCATTTCCCTGTTTACATGTGATCAGCTGTGATTGGACACAGCTGATCACATGACTGAGCTGACATCTGAGCCGACATCTTCGGCTCTTTCCGTGATCGGTAATCCGCTGTGTCTTAGGGACACAGCGCACCGCCGATCGCTGCGCGCTCCCTGAGCTGCGCATGCGCGCTGAGAATGGAAGGACGTCATACGACATCCTCCCAGAACAAGAGAACCACCTTGCATCCATCATATTACTATATGGCGGGTGGGAGGTGGTTAAACAATAAAATTCAGACGGGACCTTCAGACCAAAACACTAGGGGGGAGTTACAGAACAGTTTCCCTCCAAGATATTCTGCAGCGTGTAAGCCGACCGCCTGTTAACCACTTGCCTTCCGCCCTATAGTAGAAGTACTGCTACAGGGCAGCAGGGCTGCACAAAAATCACGCATTACACATACGTGATTTTCATTTACTGTTAGGGGCGCGTGCGCGCCACCCTACCCATGCTGTCACTGGCAGCTAGAGAAGTCAATTGCCGGGTCCTGGCCGGCGATTCCCTGCCAGCACTCAGTGATAGTCAGGGAAAGCTGACAAGAGAGAGACCCGTGTGTAAACAAACGTCTCTCTCCTGTCAGCAAGGACATGCTGCTTTGTATTTCTGTGCACAGCAGAGAAATACAAAGCCGCATGTCTCTGTTGTAAAACAGCACATAATGTGAAACACACACAGCACACAGTTAACCCTTTGATTGGCCCCGCTGTTAACCCTTTTCTATTTAGTGTCATTAGTACAGTATCAGTGCTTTTTATAAGCACTGATCACTGTATTAGTGTCACTGGGGACATCAGTGGCAGTTAGTCAGTTCCCACCCAGTGTCAGAATGCCCGCCACAGTCCCACTATAAGTCACTGATCGCCGCCATTACTAGTATAAATAAAAATATTCCAGGATATATTCTGCCATTTGTAGATGCTATAGCGTTTTTTTGGGCAAAGACATGTAGCAGAATACATTTTGGCCTACATTTATGATGAAATTAATTTTTTTTTTTTACATTTTTTATAGCAAAAAGTAAAAGGTTTTTTTTTTTTTTTTAAAATGGTCGGTATTTTTCAATGTTTATAGCACAAAAAATAAAAAAATACCACAGAGGTGATCAAATACCACTGAAAGAAAGCCATTTGTGAGGGGAAAAAAAAAAAGGACATAAAAATTTAATGTACAGTGTTGCAAGACCGCACAATTGTCAGTTAAAGTAGCACAGCGCCGTATCGCAAAAAATGGCCTGGTCTGGAAGGGGGGGGGGGGGGGGGGGTAAATCGTCTGGAGGGCAAATGGTTCAGAACTATTACACAAAAAGCACTTGTCCAGAGTCCATATGCAAGTGATACGTACATGTGGGGACTATTTATATGTAGTCATACTTAACTAATGAAAATGGTTTGGAACAAAAGCCATTTGTTCCCATTTGTTGGGGGATGGTCCCCAACCCCCAAATACTACTACTGATATATACAGTAACCAAGCAATGTATTTTCACCAAGCAATAGCCTTTTCAACTGGTTGTCAGCAGCATCTCTCTCAGCCATTCTGAAATGCTGTTACCACTGCCCCTCCTCCTATCAGCACTTATACAGGACCAGTAGGAGGAAGCCAGTCTTCTGCAGCCTGAATGGGTCTTGTGAGCACATTTGTCAGCAAAGCCAGTAAACAAGAGTATAGCATAGCCTTTGTTCTGGAGATCTGAGCCAAACAGATTGTGTTAAGAGTGCTGGACCAGGTATTGGAAGAATAGTAGAAGCTCCGATTCCAAAGCAAAAAGCAAGTATCACCTGGAAAGTCCTTAAGGGTTTCCAAGTACTTGAAATAATTTAGGAAAAAATTGACTAGTACGAGCCCAGTCAATTTTGTTGTAAAAAAAAAAAGAAATATCCAATGGGTTTAGGGAGCTCAAAACTCCCTCTTCCTCAGGGATTGAAATAAAAGGATGTAACATAGTGCAAGTATAAAGGACGTAGTTACACATAAGAAATATACTGTATAGTATATAAGAGGTATTCTAACACAGTATTATCAGATGGATAATAAAGGGTACATAATAAAGAGAACATGAAACATCAATCACGCATACTGTATATACACTACATACAAGAAAAACCTTGTCTCAAAGTGGCAATGAATTACAGAAAGGTAGTCTAATGGTATGTTGTCAATGTGAAAATAAAACGATATTATGGATATACTATGATGTAGACGCAATTGTAACAGTATCATTAATACATAACAGGATAATTTAACATAAATCTGCCTTAAAGTGGAACAGCAATTCTAAGCTAATATTCAAAGCAAACTCGCCCATCCATCCAGGTCTCCATATTTTATTTTGCTGAAGAATTATTTTGAAAAACACCCCCTGGCACTTCTGGCAGTGGCCATCTTCAGTAAAGGGCAGATAATTCATGTAGCATTTACTTCCAGGAATTCCTCTGCCCTTAGCACAGGCATTGCCTTAGCTGGGACCCCCCTTCCCCTCCTGAGGACTGCTAGGATGTTTGACATTATTTGCCTAGGCATGAAAACCAGGAATTAACTAAAGAAATGAAAAAAAAAAAAAAAAAAAAAAAAAAAAGTTTAAAAACACAAGTAAATGAGATATACTTTCCAATCAAATTACAAATGCTAGCAGAATAAGGATTAAAAATAATCCATGTTGATTGGGAGAGCGAAGTTCCACTTTAAGTAACCCAAAATATTTTGGCTTATGTAAAAATACTATATTGTATGAATGCAAGGTAGAATTATGTTAAAAACTTGGTGCCTCAAAGTGTTAAATACTGCAGTGCATTCTCTTTAGAAAACCCATACCCTGGCATTCATAAAGACTGGAGTTGGCAGATTTTGCTAAAGTGTCTCTCATGCTTTTCAAAAAAGTGGTGAAGAATGTGCCAAATTCATGTACCCGTCTAGAACTTGTACTTGAATTTGGCTCCCGCTGTGCCACTTTTAGAATGCATGGAGGCACTATTGCAAAATCTGTCAAGACAGCTTTTCTCTGTATGCCAAATGAGTTAATTAGCTGCACTTTTACATTTGGTGCACTCAATGCAACATATAATTTTACAACTATGTGAATTTGGTGCATGAGAAGCTGTCAGAACCAAAAGTGTTGCAAATAATTCATGAATACATTAAAGTGTTACTAAACCCAGGACCCTGCATTCATTATATCTGGTTTCCCACAGTAAACTTCCAAATACCTTTTCTCAGCAGTATATAGCAGTCTTATGACTTCTATCAGTGTCCAGCTGAGCACTGGTTAAAGCTTGTAGGGGTAGTTTTCCCTTCTCCTGACTGTCCTATGAGGTTGCATAACCCCTGACCCTCTGTCTGGATAGTGCGGATTGGCCCTGTGCTGATCACATGCACCCCCTTTAGCAATAAACACCAAACTGAGCATGTGCAGAGTGCCTCCTAGGGCTCTGTACTATCAGCAGATGGATTGGGGGCTGTGGAAGAAGGGGAGGATCAGAGAACACAGGATCAAACAGCCTTTTTACGCAATGCAGAGGATTAAACCCTTAGGTTACACAATTTGTATAAGAAGCATGCTTTACTGCATACAAAGACTGATTTTACTGTTGTGGGTTTATTAACACTTCAGCAAGATGGATTCCTGTCAGAAAAATGGTACAGCGAGTTACTGGATTCCCCCATAGTGCTCTGGAAATCCCTTGTCTTCAAATTCTGTGTTTGTCAATCAAAGATTATGAGCAAGTGTGCAGAAACTGACCCAAGTTTTAGCTAGCACGTGACAACTCAAGACTGTTAGAAAAACAGAATAGCATTTATAAGTATTTGTTTTTTTTCCTTCATCTGAACGCATGAGGGCAAGACTGTAGACAGCCATCAAAGTTCAGTAGGTCCAACACCAGACACAATGCCATGAGTGTACAAAAAAGCCCATGAGAGAGAGAGAGAAAAGAAAACACCACACAACACACAATGATATATAAAGAGAAAAAAAGTTTCTGCTAGGAAGAGAAAAAACAATTTCTCCCAGTGAGGCAGCTTCCTGTTACTCTGTATTTCCTGATAGACACAGAAACACTGGCACCGAGCAGAACCAGCAATAGCAGCTTATATTATTAAGGCATCCATGTCAACACTTATACAGCACGTTCCTGCACGGCCTCGGGAAACTATTCTTCCTTTTGTGACAACAATGTGTAGACACGATTGTTTTCACTTAATACAGAGAAAAAAAAAATGAGCA